ATAGCATAATGTACTCCAAGACTTGCTCATGTTACTGATACACTAGAATGGTACAAAAACAACTGGTGTTAAAGCAAAATGCCCAACCACCGGTTGGGGCCAGTGCTATGGCATAGCAGGTTAGGCCTCCACCTGTGGCACCAGCATCCTATATGCACGCCAGCTCTAGTCCTGGCTGCTGCACTTCAAATCCAGCATCCCTGCTGATGGCCTGGGCATGCAGCTGAAGACGGCCCAAGTCCTGGGGCACCTGCACCCACCTGGGAGACTCACGCACTTCCTGGCTCCTGACTTCAGATAAGCCCAGCTTTGGTTGTCGCAGCCATGCGGGGAGTGAACCAGTGGATAGTCTTATCCCTCTGTCTCTCCCTCTCTCTGTCTTTAACTTTTCATCTCAAATAAATAAATCTTAAAAAAATAAAAGAGTACCACTTCTTGGCCTTTTGGCTAAGATCAGGTGTAAAAAAATAAGAGTCACTGGGCATGGAGTTGCATGACAATGAAAAAGGCCTGACAGGTTCTTAGAGTTAAAACAAAATACATTCCCAAACCCAACAGCAAAATGTCAGTCCCACCTCTGGTTAGACGAGAATGCTCGGCAGTCTAATTTGAGGACTGGGAGGAACCCTCCTGCTGCTCACTTGGGAAGTTGTCTTAGGAGTCACGGGAGCCTTTTTCAGTGTGGTGGCTTTCTCCCTGGAGTGCACGGTCACTGTCTGTTGCATCCAGTTGTTTGCATGGATCTCTCTCTCTCTGAAAACCTGAACGTTTTTCTCTTCTTCCACCTGGTCTTGGTTGGGTCCACTTCTAGGGTTTCTTCTGGATTGCAGGAGCTGCACGGTGACCAAGAGCTGGTCACCCCAGAACAGGGAAGCTCAAGATGTGGGTCCACCCTGCCAGTCTTGAAGGGAAGCCTCCCTGAAGACTTCGGAGCTCCCGACTTGGCTGCTGCTCTCTGTGGGGCTCGGGCATGGCTCCCTGGGGAACTTCCCACTCCAGCTGCACCTGTTGGCTGCCTGGGTTAACTCCTGCCTCCTCCCTGGGCTGGAAGCTCCTCTTCTAGCCTCCTCCGACAGCCTGTCTCGTACCCACTTGACGCTCTGCGAGCATCCTCAGAATCGATGATGAAAAAGAACACAAGTGCGTTTACATTACGAACAACCTGGAATCTCTCCACACCACAGGACGGGCGAACACGGGCATTCATCTTCCAGATCTGTTTTTCAAAGACTGTTAGCCTTTTTTTGAAAAATTTATTTATTTGAGAGGCAGAGTCAGAGAGAGGGAAAGGCAAAGACAGAGAGGAGAGAAAGGTTTTCCATCCACTGGTTCACTCCCCTAAAGGCCATGATGGCCAGAACTGAGCTGATCCAAAGCCAAGAACCAGGAGTTTCTTCCGGGTCTCCCACTCAAGTGCAGGAGCCCAAGCACGTGGGTCACCCTCTACTGCTTTCCCAGGCCATGGTGGAGAGCTGGATCAGAAGAAGAGCAACGGGGACACGCATTGGTGCCCATATGGGATGTTAGCACTGCAGGTGGAGGCTTAGCCCACTATGCCACAGCACCGGCATGTTAATCAGCCTTTTAAAAAATACACTTTTCCTCTTCACTGTCTTGGGTTGAGGTTTGAAGGGCACGATGGAGAAGATGGATCAAAGTGCGGTGCGACATGACAAGACAGCACAGAACCTAGCAAGGTGAGCTAGAGAGGCAGTGTGTGTGCTGGGGGGGGGGGGGGGGGGGGCTGGGCCCTGCCACGCACACGGCAGCTGCTGACACTTGGTGGAGGTCCCATGTAGAGAGTTTAGATCTGACCTGTAGGCAAGTGAGGAAGCACCTCCCTAGAGGCCCAGGTGGCCTGGAAGTATGACATCCACTCAGGAAGCCTTCAGACAAGTCCTCGTTGGCGGGGCGGTTTGTGTGGCCTCCCTTGAGGACATGGTGTAGCACCACGCAGATGACCACTGGGAGCTCAGGCGGCAAAACGAAGGCTCTTTGATCAGTTCACGGGAAAGGGCATTCTCTTTCAACCCCGTTTTCCATGCACTTTTAAAGCACTCGTAGGATGAGTGTGGAGGTCATGGCTTCAGAGCTCGCTGCGCACCCTAGTGAGCCGGGCAGCACTTTGGAGGTGGCTCAGCACCCATCCGTCACCACAGTGGGAAAAACCTCGCTCACTTCTGCTGGAGGCTCGGTGTGGCATCTAGCTTGGTTTCCAAGCAGCTGCAGACACACTAGCAAGTGGCGAGCCGCGTGTCTGAGCTCCAGCAAAGATCCAGGTGCAGGAGGGCTCTCTCCAGCCACCTGGAGCTCCTGAGCACCGGCTCTCCACCTTCCCAGCCTCATCAACAACAGCGCCTCCGTCCAGCCAACTGTCCAAGCCATAGCCCATCCTTGACTTCTGCCTGCCTCCCCTACATCTTCACGTCTAAATCCACCAGCAGGTTCACTGGCTGCCCATGGCTCCCCCTCTCCACCGCTGCCACCCACGCCAGGACGTCACTCACCTGGACCAATCCAGAGGTCTCCGCCCAGCCTCTGCTTCAGTGCCTCCGCCCCAAGCGGCCAGAGTGGTCTTTTAGGGAGCAGTCGGATCAACCGCGCTGTAGTGCACGCAGCGGCCTGAGATGCACACTTCCGCTGATGTCTCCTAGCTGTCTAGAGGGGTTATTCTTTTCAATTCATGTTTTAACAACGTTCATGCCTGATTGAGAAAAATATGCAGACAAAAAACAAAGTCACTCACATCCCTCCTATGAAACACCCAGCAATGGCTTCTCTCGACACGCGGCTATGGGCCAAAGTTGGGCACACACGGCCCTCTTCCTCCAAACTCACCCCTCTCCTTCAAGACTGGGACCCAGGCACTCCCAGGTCCAAGGCGCCCCTCTTCCCATGTGCTCTGCCTAATTCCTTCAGCATCCAATGTCACTTACCTTAGAGAAGCTCCTGGAACCGCTCAAGTCTCAACTCGGTGTCTTCCTCCATCACACCTGACACACCAGACAGTGACAGACAGGGTGGGAGCACATCCTGTGAGCTCCATGAGCTATTTGTTCAAGTTCAAATTTGGAAGGACTGCAGGGGCTTCGATGTTCCCCTCTGTGACAGAACTACCAGGACAACCAGGTAACAAAACCCACGTGCTGGAGGCCTGCTTCCCACGCGTGGCATCTCGGGACACTCTGAGAGTACCTCGCTGGGTCTGGCTGGTTCTCCGGACGCTTCTTCAAGTTGCTGCTGGGTTGCTGCCGGGGCAGAGCCCTCTCGGGTCTTTGGTGCACACCTGCCTCACTTCTGCTAGATCTGGAGCCTCCTAGATGTATTGAGGGGTGTGTGTGTGTGTGTGTGTTACATTAAAATGAATTAAAAACTCAGCATGTGTGCCATGAAAATCACAAGAAATGCCACGGGATGGTGGTTTTCAAATGTTACTGTGCAGTAAGATTACCGGGGGGGGGGGGGCAGGTGGATATCTGGGTTCCATCACCAATTAGTCTGATTCTGTACGCTTGGGGTAGGGCCCAAGAACTTGCATTTTTTTTTTTTTTTTTTGACAGGCAGAGTGGACAGTGAGAGAGAGAGAGACAGAGAGAAAGGTCTTCCTTTGCCGTTGGTTCACCCTCCAATGGCTGCTGCGGCCCGCGCACCGTGCTGATCTGATGGCAGGAGCCAGGTGCTTCTCCTGGTCTCCCATGGGGTGCAGGGCCCAAGCACTTGGGCCATCCTCCACTGCACTCTCTGGCCACAGCAGAGAGCTGGCCTGGAAGAGGGGCAACCGGGACAGAATCTGGCGCCCTGACTGGGACTAGAACCTGGTGTGCCGGCACCGCAAGGTGGAGGATTAGCCTAGTGAGCCGCGGTGCCGGCCAAGAACTTGCATTTTTACCAAGCAGCTGAGTGGTGGTGCTGCTGTCCCAGGGTATCAGGAGACCAGGGTTTGTGATCACCGAACTAGCACAGCTATTCACTTGCAAAGAACAGACATTTCAGAGAACAAGGCTGGCACACATCCAGGGAACCACACAGGAAGGCCACAGGAAGCTAGGGGAGGGGGGCCGAAGTTTAACTCATCTAAGTGGCAGTGGCAGCTACGGGAGGGTTTCGAGCAAGGACGATGCCACTTGCTGACATCTCATAAAGGACCACGCCGGCTCTCGTGCAGAGAATGCTCAGAGGGGAAACGGAAGCAGAGAGACGCAGGATGCAGCTGCGAGCTTGGAACTCAGGAGATGGGGCAGGCGCTTGTTAACTTGCGCACGGTGCAGACCCGCCAGCAGCCTCTGCGCTGCCAGTCCTCTGTGGTCCAGACACTCGGGGCTGCTTCCAATGCAGACAGCGCCACAGTGAGCTGGCTGGGGAGGGGATTAGCCTGAGCTTTTGTGGGTGAACGTCTCGGTCCTGATGCTCTTTTTGTAAGTGTTTGTTTCGGCCAAGCAGCTCCGCTTCTCTGAGCTTTGCTGTTCTCACGCCAGCCTCGCTGGAGATGCTATGGGCTGCAGGGAGACCATCTGTGAGCAGGATGCACCCCACCCAGGCCCCGCTTTTTATTCGTTCCTGGACACCCAGCAGGGGGCCTCTCCTCTCACCTCTCAGGAGATTCTCCCAGCATTCAATTGCTGCTATCTCTGACCTTCCTGCCTGAAAGACCTACAGTAGCTTCCAGGTCCTACCATGGCCTGACAGACAGGATCACGTATGAGAAATTAAAATATCAAAAATATAAAGTACAAAAGGAAAAATATTTGATTCTCCAAAAATTTATGAAGCAGAATACTACTATAGATTCTTGCTATCTATTTCTGAAATTCTCACTATCGTGGTAAACGATCGACCACTCACAGTGAGTATCCACTGCACCAACAGATGAGCTGCTGAACACTTTCCCTGCCTTAGCAACAGAAGTGTGAACATATGTGTGAGGATTTGTGTGCGCACACATGTGTGCAATGACAATTTGTGTTTTCAATCAAATTCTCAGAGCAGAGGACACATTCAAGTATTTCTTGATCGCTTTTATTGAACTCAAAATAGCTAGTAACATCAAATCATTTAAAAATCTCTCCAGTAGTTGCCTACTCAGGTGTTTTTGGTTGATGAACTTGCTCGTTCTGTTCCTGCTTGCTCCCGACATGTAATCACACCGTCTGTGCCAGAAGCCGTCTTTAAGTCTGCAGCAGCCGTTAGATGCTAGTGAAAGCACATGATGTGGCATGAGCTCTGGTATGAGTTTACTGGTCAGACTGGCAAGCGTCAGTGGGCTGGCTGTTCATCAGCTGCCCACGAGAGGCCCACACACAGCACGCAGTGACCGGCAGCCCCATGCTTCTGGCCTTTGCTGGGCCCACCACACAGGTCAGCAAGAGGGAGGGACAGGGGAGTCAGGGCACACGCAAGATCAGCCCACGGCGGCCTCAGCTATGGGGACCGTGAAAGGTGACCCAGACAGAACAAGACACAGAATCCCATCGTGACACTGCCCGTTCAACGGACGTTCGGCCACCTGCCAGTCCCGCGCTGCCACTTCACATCTGTATCTCACGTGCGGGGCCGGCGCTGCCTCCAGCACCTGTGGCTCCTAAGCACGCACTGACAACTTCCTGTGGTCTCCAACCGCAGGTCACTCACTTCTTTCCAGGGGGCACGCTCACACCCTGCTTCTCCCTGGGCCCTGGCCCCCGGGGCCCGATGCCGAGTCCACCGTGTCGCAGGCTGAAGTGTCGAGATTCTTTAGTTCTGTACTTATCTGGCTGCCCTGGTGCTGCGAGGAGAGTTCGGTCTCCACCTGGCTCCTCCTCGCCTTTCTCAGCGTTGCTCCGATACACTCCTGGGGCTGCCAGCTCGGGAACCGAACTCACCAACCGGGAAAGTCACAGGGCGCAGACGAGTGAGTCACGGACCAGAGCTGCTCCGCCTCCAGACGATCAGGCTGTGATTTTCCGTGGTGCGGCTGCAGCACAGCGCGATGTTGTTCTGTGAGACGCCCGCCCCTGGGGACCCACTGGATCCCCTGGGGCTCCTGGCACAGGCGTCTAAGCTGGCAGCTCCAACTCACTTCTCAAACACGTGGCCCTCACCTGACTGCTGTCCTGGGTCAGCTTCTACATACGAAAGCACCATGCTAGTGGAAACATGCCTGCCCTGAATGGAGACTGTGAACGTCACCACCAGCTCACGCTGCTCTGTCACTGAGTGCAGGTTAATTTGGTAGGTATCGATTTCCTTGACTACAACCTGGAACCTGGCTTTAGCTTCCTGCAGCCATGCGGGACTTCTACCTGGGCTGCAGGTGAGGGTAAAATATCCCATGGAGAACTCCTTCGATGACCACGTTCGGAAAATCTGAAAGACAGAAGCAAACCTGCTTTTCTAGGTGCACTAGGAAGTACGACTTTCTGCAGAAGTCAACCAACAAGGACCCCCGGAACCTAGGACGCGGCAACACCCCGCGGTGGCCTCGTGTGACGTGGGATGTGCCCTCGGTCAGGCTGCTTCGGCCTGCAGCCACGCGTGCGCCCTGGCCGGTGTGGCGGCCTGGGCAGCCAGATTTGTAGCGTATTGATCGAAGGACGTTCCGGCGGTGAACGCGGCCGGCCCCGGCTCTCTATCTGCATGTTTTCTCACAAGGAAGATGGATGACACTGGCAATTCAATTTCTAACAAAATCTCAATACACTTGAAGGAATTCCAAGATTTCTACTGGGAATACGTGGCTGCAGTTTTTCCACTGTGGCTTACGGCGCCACTCAGGCCTGGTTGCCTGTAACAGGCTGGGCTGCTAGGCCGGGCTCCAGGGAGCAGCAGGAAGGGGCCCGGCTCCCTTGCGTCCAAGGGCACGTTTCTGAACAAGGCCACTCTGCCACCAAAGCCAGTTACATTTCCACAGGAAGTGTGGTACAAAGCAGAGGTGCACGGGGGCCGCACCCCAAAAGCACTCAGAGAGCAAGTGCAATACAGGCAGGTTGCCTGATGGGGAACTCATCTGTCTCATGGTTCTAAAGTTTAATTTCTCAGCATCCACCTGTCCAAAATGCTATTGTGCCCTGTGCTGCAAGCAAGCACTTTTAAGAGTCATCTTTACGTAAGGACAATTCCAATACTTGAAAACAAAAGCAGTGTTCATTTACTAACACCGTCTCTCCAAGGCACCCACTTAGAGGAGGCACTGACAAGGGGCCTGAGACTCAGCAGGGACAGGCGTGCACCGGGGAGCAAGTCTACAGCAGGAGGAAGCCGGCGCAGGGGGCGGGAGCCAGAAACCCACAGAGGAATGGGAGGGGGCATGGGAAAAGGTGACCTGCCTGTCACTCGGGGACAGAGCGGAACGAGGTCAGGGTGGACACGGCACGGGCAGGTCAGGGGTTCAAGGCGGAGACTGTGGCTGTGGTGTAGGATGAGGGAGGCAGGCAGGTGCCAGAGAGGCAAAGGGGCGCCCAGGGAACGCCCAGCCATGACTAGGCGGGGGAGGGGTCAAGGACGCGGTCCGGGACGGGACGGGACGGGGCGTCCCCGACTCAGGCAGACGTCTGAGCCGCGAGGTCTGGGCTCTGATGGACCAAGGGGAGAGGCGTGACTGACCGAGTCATGGCCGCAGGGATGGGAGGCTGTGGGAGCCTAGCAAAGGCAGACCTCTGGAGAGGCGGGGTCACCCAGCCCAGGTCGACCTGGCTGCTCTCTGTCTCCTCTCCCGCGAGTGAGGGCTCTCGTCAAACACTACAGGGCTGCAAGAACTTGTCCCTGGTACAACGCTTCTAAACCAACACAGGGCTGGGCATGAATCCGGGCTGGCCCAAACCCCAAGGAAATGGCTCTGGCAGCTACATCCGCACCCCCGCCCCGTGCCCGGGTCCGTCCTCTTTATCAGTCTCCTAATTCCCATCTCCTCGAACAGGGGTCCCCCGCTTGCACAAGACCTCACCTGCACCCCCGTGCCACCGGCTCCAGACCCAGGCCCATGACACCTTCCCAGAAGCCTCCTCCTGGTCCTCATTTTCAAGCTGGGGGCACAGGTAAGCCGGATGCACTGGACTCGAGGGTCGTGAGGTATCTGCCCTCTCCCCTGAGGCATCCCGGCTGTGCAAGCGCCCGTGACCTTTCCACTCTGACCCCTCTGCAGGCCTCTCACCCCTGAGCACTGGCAGTGCCTGGATAAAGTACTGCTGGGACCACTCCTGAAATGTCGCGAGAGTCCTTCACAAAACATGGCCCAGGCAGTCTGGGCCAGGTCCGTGTGTCGCTGTGGAGAGCAGACCCTCTTTGGGACTTTGGTCGTCAGCCACGAGGCCAGGCTGCACAGTGTCACTCACAGGAGGCTGTGGCGTCTCCGGGTGCTTAGGGATGGGCGCATACACAAGCTCCAAGCCCACTCCACGCAAAGAGCAGGGGAGACCCGGGCATCCAAGGCCCACTGGGGTCTGCGGGGACCGGGCGAGCCAGGGGCCTTCCTGGGCCCTGCCAATGACAACACCTGCCCTGCCTGTCAGAACACGATGGCTAAGAAAATGAAATAAACCACGTCTGGGGCTGTGCTTGTGCAGAGCTGTGTGAAGGCACTCGGGGGACGGCTCCCAGCAGCCCACAGGGTCTCACAGGCCCGGGCTACCGTATTGATCACGGCTGCACCTTAATCAATTCACTGCACTGAACACACACAACTTTCAAATATACACCCTGAACCATCAAAGATGCTGCAACCTGGACAGGGATGGAGCCAGCCCTGGGGTGGACGTGCGGGGCTGTGTGGGGCGCGGGTTCTTCAGGAGGGACTGGGGCCTTGCCTTCGAACCCCAGCCTTGGGAGAAAAACAAGCAGAGACCAAAGCAGTGCCACCCAGAAAATGCAGACAATAGAAGTCCCCTTCTTGTCCCCCTTCCCCCTTCCCACTCTGCTTCCGAAGAGCCTGGAGAGGGAGGGAGGGAGAGAGGGGGAGAGGGGGAGAGGGGGAGAAAGGGAAGGGAGGGAGGGAGGGAGGGAGAGAGAGAGAGAGAGAGAGAGACACGAGATAGAGGGAGAAAGAGGGGAGAGAGAGAGAGAAAGAAAAATTACATGTCCTCCTGAAAGGCCGGCCCCAATTAAAATTCTAAATGTCTCTCACACCAAGAGCACTGGTTTATTGGCAGATTATTAAGCCCTGGACCAATGTCACTCTGTTAGGCCTGTATTAAAAACGTGGTTTCTGTGGCGCAGGGTCAGATCAGTAAAGAGCTGTTAACAGATGACAGCTTTGATTACCGCTAGCTGCAGGCAAGACGTATGGGTCCCGGAGGAACAGCAGCACCGGCTGGTGGGACAGTTTGCTGCAAAGGTCAAGAACAGGCATGTCAGCATCAGGGGACGATGGTAAACAGAAAACACTACAAACTAGCTTTGAGGGGATCAAACTGCAGCGCGGGGCCGGCTCCAGGCTCACCAGCTAGGGGCCTGGGCAGGCAACACCGGCAGGGGTGCGGGCGGTGAGGCAGGTACAGGTCTACACAGCACACCACGCGCCCAGTATGGCTGCCCACCCAGAGGTAGCCTTGCGATGTGGCAGGAACTGTTCACTGCACTGAACACAATCAACTCCTCCCTGGCACGTCCCTGGGAAATTTCTACAAGTCCCTGGGCAATGCTCACCATCCCATCACCCATCTCCCAACAAAGGTTTGCAAGGCAAGCAGGAATGACTCCCTGGGCAGTGAGACCTGCGCCGGAGCCACCGTCACACCTTTGGTCTGCAGGGTTCCTGGTTCTCACCTGGACTCTTCCGATTCCGTCTCATCAAAAGATCTGGAATTGAAAGAGCAGAAAAGATGACCGAATGAGCCTTTACAACCAACAAAGGGAAAGCCAGCCGGCATTCTGGGGGCACTCGAGTGGGACCCACGCAACAACACGAAGAGCTGCTGATTTTCAGAGTCACAGCAGGGCTGGGGCTCGTCCTGTGGCATCTGGAGACTGGAATATTCGCGGATCTGGGACCTCTGAAATGTCCTAAGGCTTGACTGCTCCTTTGGGGCTTGTATAATGGAGAGGAGACTACACTCCGTGTCACTGCTTGTGTTTTCTTCCAAGCACACAGGAAGCTAGCCTCCCAGTCCACACACAGAGCACAGGGCCAGCATGGCTCCTTCAGGAAGTGCCGTGTGCGGTACCGGCTCTGGGGCCACTGGCAGGTGGCCGCAGGTACACAGAGCCGGGAGGCACTGAGAGAGGCGCAGGCAGGGCTCCGCGAGCAGGAGGCGGGAGCAGCGGCACTGGGGCAGCTGGCCTGGCGGTCCGTCCTGAGTGTGGCTCCTGCAGGTGCAGCTCCATGGGAGCTTGGGGATTTACAGAGCTTCACAGGGCTCTGTCCTCTGACATGGATTTACTCTGCCAGGGATGTTGTTGGCTGCTGGCTGCCACGTGCTCACAGCTGGGCTGGTGGCTGGCTTCAGAGTCACCTCTTTGGGGCAGCTTTCCCAGGAGACAGGGAGAGCAAAACCCTGGCGTCATGGTGCAGAGGGTTAAGCTGCTGCTGGTGACGCCTGCACCTCCTATCAGAGCGCCGTTTTGTGTCCAGGCTGCTCTGCTTCTGATCCAGCTTCCTGCTAACAAGTAGTTTGCAAAAAAACAGAGTCCTGGTTCCCTAGTAGCCAGGGATCAGGGTCCCTGCTGCTGTGGGAAGTTGAAGGAGAGGCAGCAGGGGCACGGAGGGAGAGGGCTCGCGTTGGGAGGGACTTGCACTGAATCACCCCTAAGGTCATTCGCAGCTGAACAACGCTGTGGGCAGGTACGTGTGCCCAGTGGATATGGACTCTGCTCAAGCCACAGATAGAGTATTCCCCTGTCTGAGTAACTCAGGCCAGGTGACATCACGCTGCACCCCTGGCACTGTTTCAAAGGTCAAAGCTTAGTCACGCATTACTGAGGCTTGGCCACTGGGCCACCAGATGGGGGATGAGGGATTTGGGGGAATTCCTTGGGCTACACACAGGGGGCGAGAAAGGGCTGTGCCAAAACGAAAGGCTGGGGCGTGGCCAGGCCGCCTCTCTAGGGCACCATTCTGGGATATCTGTTTGGCCTCCCAAGAGTAACTTAAAATAACGTCCACCCTGGAAACCGCAGGCCTTACCCACAGCTTTCTGCCTTTGGGAGAGAGGGCAAGTGTCGCACGTTCAGGAAATCGAGAAGCAGTTTGGGAAGCTCTTCGTTTTCTAAAATGACAGCCTGTGGAAGCAGAAAAGGGAATCAGAGACCGAGACGAAGTCTGCTAAGCAATCAATCAAAGAAACTATTTCAAAAAGTCAAAACCGTCCATCAACGTTCGCAGCACCAACGCAGCTCCGAATCACCGCAAGGCGTGGTCCCCGGAATCCGGGGCATCGGATGAGCTGCTCTCTCTATGTCCTTTCCCTCAGCCCCAGGGACACAGCCCGCATGGTCCCTCAGATGCTGACCAGGGGACGGGAGGGCGGGGCAGGCAGGTGGACGCAGGCCCCGCCTCCTTGCAGACTCTAATCCGGAGCGAGCTTTCTGCACTGGCGAACACCTGAGTACCGTCCAGACCTGTGTCCCCCCCTCCTACTGGCTGACAGACTCACTCAGGAACACACACAAGGGTGCTGCCAGCGGTTCACGGAAAATCGAACTCCAACATGACCTTACACTGGTACAAAAAAAAAAAATTGAAATCTGTATTTTTTTTTAGATAATATGAATTTTCATGAACTTTTTGAAGGCTTCTTGCATGTATGAATTTCAAAACTTTTCACACCAAAATAAACCCATCTTTAAGCCCGTTTCTCAGGAACTCAGAAGGCATATTATAAATTTATATGTTATAAATGGCTCTCCTACCTGGTAGCTTTAGTGAAAACCCTAGGCTATAACCTGTCTCAACATTAGGATCAACCGACATTCACTGTCACGTGAACTGTCTCAAAGTGTTCACTGCAACTCTATTGATGAGTTATTGCGGAGTTCTTTCATTTAAAAAATCTCTTAAAATTTTATTTACTTTCATTGCACTTGAAAGGCAAGAGAGAGAGAAAGAGAAACTGAGACAGAAATCTTCCATCTCCGGGTTTGTTCCCCAAAGGCCTACCATGGCCAGGGCTGGGCCAGGCTGGAGACAGGAGCCCAGAACTCCATCTCAGTTTGTCATGTGGGCGCAGGGGCCCAAGTGCGTGGGCTGTGATCTGCTGCTTGCCCAGGCGCATGAGCAGGGAGCTGATCGGAAGCAGGGCAGCCAGGACGTCAGCAGGGAAGGAGTATGATCTATGAGACGCTGGCATTCCAAGTGGTGGCTTAACCCACTGCACCATGACACCGGCCCCTAAGGATGAAAATTTTACCTATTTATTTGAGATGGAGAAGGTAAGAAGCGGAGAAAGAGGGACAGACGCACATGGAGCTCCCCTTCGGTGTTTCACTCCAAATGCCCACGGTGGCTGGAACCAGGCTGGGCCAAAGCTGGCAATCGGGAATTCAATCCAGGGCTCCCACGTGGAGCCAGCACCATGGCCTCCCGGGGTCTACACCAGTGGGGAGCTGGAGCTGGAGGCTGGGACCGCAGGCAGGGACGCGGGCATCTTAACCAGGAGGCCAAATTCTGAGCCCTGTCTGTAAAGGAGGCTGCCAGGGCGTGTGAGCCGGGTGTACACCACCGCCTTCCTTCTCCCCCTCTTCCCAAAGACTGGGGGGGTAAGAGTGTCAGAGCCTGTACAGCGACCTCTGAAATCCCTCTAAGCATTCTTTTTTTATTTTTTTTTTATTTTTTATTTTTTGACAGGCAGAGTGGACAATGAGAGAGAGAGAGACAGAGAGACAGGTCTTCCTTTGCCGTTGGTTCACCCTCCAATGGCCGCCGCGGCCGGCGCAACGCGCTGATCCGAAGGCAGGAGCCAGGTGCTTCTCCTGGTATCCCATGGGGTGCAGGGCCCAAGCACTTGGGCCATCCTCCACTGCACTCCCTGGCCACAGCAGAGAGCTGGCCTGGAAGAGGGGCAATCGGGACAGAATCCGGCGCCCCAACCGGACTAGAACCCGGTGTGCTGGCGCCGCTAGGCGGAGGATTAGCCTAGTGAGCCGTGGCGCCGGCCATCTAAGCATTCTTAAGGGTCATTGTTAAACAAGTTAACACGGGGGACTTTGCTGTTCAGAGCCCAGCAAGAGGGGTGGCTGTGTGGTGCAGTGGTTACAACGCTACTCGGGAGGCCCAAATCCCATATTAGAATTCCGCCTCAATTCCCGTTCCAGCTTCCTGCTAACGTGAGCCCTGGAAGCAGCAGACGACGGCTCCAGCGGCTGCGTCCCTGCCACTCACGGTGGAGACCTGCTTGAGTTGCTAGCTTCAGCCTGAGCCACCGCGGGCATCTGAGGACGGAGGAATCTGTCTATCATATCATCTCTGTCTCTCTGCCTTTCTAATAAACAACAACAAAGTAAAAAAATAAATAAATACATAAAGCCCATATCACCAGAAATGCTGGTGAAATATCCACACGGCCGATCAGGAACAGCTATGCAAGCTGCTGCCCCAGACCCGGAACAAACGGTGAGAGCGAGGAGAAACCGTGTGCGTCTTCTGTATCTGGCATTCGGGGGCACGTTCTGAGTGAGCTTAACTTACACAGTGAGTTGCCCTGCTTTTCCCCAGAGTCTGAAAACCGCTGCGCAGTCCAGGACACACGAATGGGTGAGGGAACGGCACCGTCGCTGGGTACCAGCAGGCTGCCCTGTCCTACACAGCCGGAGGGCTGTTCAGTCCCTGGGCAGAGGCCGTCACCATGGCCAGCTCTGTCCGGGGCTGTGACTGCCACTGTAGCCAGCAAGGCCTAAGGGATCACGGGGATAAGAACAAGAATGGCATCTCCCTTGTGAGGCATCGGGATATGGTGGGGAACGCCACGTGGCCTGGCCGAGGAGACTGCGACCAACCCACAGACACACAGCCCAGCGGCCTGAGCTTGGCTTTCAGTAGTGACACGGAACCCGATCACTGTCCCACTCGGACCTCCCACCACTCACCCACCCACGTCCACAGCCACAGCTGCACCGACACACGCACCTGCGCTCGGATCGCAAAACCGGAAAAACGCTAACTCCAGAAAACAAAGAGGGAGGAAAAGCCTCCGCTCACAGCATGACTTCCAGCTGACTGCCTTCGAATCCTGAGGCCTTCATCTGAGTTTCTACCTACCCGAGGGAACTGTGGGGGTGCCCAGAGGTCTTTATTTCACTGCCCCCAAACTCGCAAGTTCTAGGAACCGTCACGCATATGCAACGCTCAGGGATTTTTGCCACGCGCTAAGGGGCGGCGATGGTCACACTGTTTCTGGGAATCCACGTGGGCGGAAGTGGCTGCAGCACCATTCAGGCCCAGCGTGGCACGCGCCAGGCTGTCCACCCAGAACAGGTTTAACGATCTGTACAAGCAGTAGCATTCAGACTTAAAAAAAAATGGGGGAGGGAACACCGTTCTTATCTCCACCCCCACCTTTTTAAAATAAATTAAATCAATAACAAGTGTGGGACACTTTTAATGACCTGAACTACTTAATTTCCAGGACCCGCAGACACGCCATCCATCACCGTGCTATGGAGGGAGACATCTCTTGAGTGTTCCGGGGGTTACTTTGGTTTTATTAATGCAAGATTTAGGGAATTTTAACAAGGTGAATTGTTTATTTGCCTTGACAGATAGGCTTACAATGCACTGGCCACGTCCACAGCGTGATCATTAATGACGACAGACAGGCCAAAGCTGTCGACACTGCAGCACTGGATGGGATTAATCCCGCGCAGCCTCCCCGCACGGGGCTCCAAACCGATGACCGCGAGGTCCTGCGTGAGGCCGCCAGGCGGAGAGGCGCAGGGAGAACTCCACAAACCTGCGAGTATTTATTCCGTTAAGTGCTCATGAGATGGTCTCAAGAAGTACTTCCCATACTGTGACGACCAGCACACGCCCAGGAGTTAGGGCTATAAAGAGGGTAGCGGGGAGGGATTGGCTGAGTGCTTGGTGACCCGGGAAGGAGACGCCCTCAGCTCCGAGGAGAAACAGCTGGCAGGAAAGGCATGGACGCGGAAGTCCCAGCCGCGAGGGGTCCCACGCACCAGCAGAGACGCGGAGGAGGAATCGAGTGACGTCAGCCCAGGGTCTGGGCTCACAAATGCAGGGTCTCACGCAGCAGAGGCTGGACATCAGGTGTGTGTGCATGGGGGAGGGGGCTTCGCTGTTCCACGCACGTCGTCTTCAGCTCCTACAAAGCCTTTGTTTGTGGGGCTGACCCTTCAATGCAGCTGCACCCTGGCTCACCCCGTGGACTGGCAGTCCTAGCCTGGCCTTAATTTTTACAAATAACTTCTTTTTATTCATTGTACCCCACATTGCCCCGTTGTTATGGCATGCTTATCCTCATTTCTGATGACTCCCTGGTGGGGAGTTATTTCATGCCTCGGAGGGCCAGTGAGGTGCAGGAGGCTTGTGGGTTGCACAGCAAGACCTGGGTTCCAACTCGTCCTCTGTGCTGAGGATCCAGTGAGCCGTCTCCAGGAGTCTCTGGTACACACGTGGCCCTCGGTCCTCTCTGAGTGTTGCACCAGCACAGGCATTTGCAAATTTAGATTATCGTCTATGCAGTGAACACAGCTTCCTTAGCCCAGGACTCACAGATCCTTTGGACATGCAGATGAAAGCTGAGTGCCTCGCTCCCTGAAACACATATACACACACATCCACACATACACATGCATGAAACACACATGCACACATATACACATGCATGCAACACATATGCACACACATCTACATACACATACACACATACACATACACATGCATGAAACACATATACACACATATCCACACATACACATGCATGAAACACATATACACACATATCTACACATACACATGCATGAAACACATATACACATGTACATACGCATCTACACAAATGCATGCAACACATATATACATGCACACACCTACACATGCATGAAACACATATGCACATTTACACATACACATGCATGCAACACATATGCACACACATCTACATACACATGCATGCAACACATACACATGCACATACACCTACACATGCACATGCATGAAACACATCTACACATGCACACACATCTACACATACAAACACACGAAACACATACACACATCTACAGACACGTATGAAACATATACACACACCTGTAAACACATACAT